TGCTATAGCAGTTTGATATAGTCAGACATTCATTTTCATTAAAGCTAAATGAGTATGCAGAACTAAAAAGTGATTATCAGAACAAATTTTGCTATTTCATGGACTTGGAATGATAATTTTTGCCGCTGATTTTCTTGAATGAACAAGTACTGTAGTTGCAGTTATCTTGTTTTTCTTATCATTTTAAACTAAATTCAGCTGATTGCTGTCATTTTCAGCACGCAGATTTCTCGCTATAATGTTAATTCAGAAATAAGTATTTTTTAGCGAAACATTCTTTCCCTATTAGCGAGCGTTCATCGCTACTTCTGCCGCCATTAATTTTTAGTCACTGCAATTGATTGCTCCTTTTTCACCACGTGACCCCAACGCAACCGCAGACATACGGATAAAAGTTGAACATTGTTGAACTCCATCGTATGATTTGCAGATGTGAATTCGCTCGCTGATTTCAATTACCTCTGGCGTTATTTACAGATGCTTCAGATACGGCGATTGGCTCAGTGTTGCAACATATGAAAACTCCTCGTGGAAGCCAATAGCATTTTTTTCTAAAAAATTAAGTGATACTCAGCAAAAATATAGCACCTATGATAGAGAACTATTAAGCATATATCTTTCAGTTAGACACTTTAAGCATTATCTAGAAGGAAGAGTATTTACAATTTATACAGATCACAAGCCCTTAATATTCGCCTTTCGTCAAAAACTTGACAAAGCAACACCTAGACAGGCTCGCCAACTTCAATACATCTCCCAGTTTTCGACTGATATCAAATATGTAAAAGGTGAGAATAATATTGTGGCGGATACATTATCTAGAGTTAATGAAATTTCATCGATAGATAGATTATGATAAAATAGCTGATGAACAAACTCAAGATGAAGAACTGAAGAGTTTGCAAACCACTACTTCCTTGAATTTCAAGCAATGTTCTCTACCTTCGGGGAAATATTTGTGGTGTGATACATCAACTAAACATGTTCGGCCGTATATTCCTCAGGCTTTCAGAAAACACGTCTTTCAAACGAATTCATGGTTTATCACATCCAGGAATAAAATCGACTATGAAATTAATGACATCAAAATTCATTTGGCCTAACATAAAAAAAGATGTACAGTTGTGGACAAGAACCTGCATTCCTTGCCAAAAAGCTAAAATCAAGTCGGCACACCAAAACAAAATTAGGTGAGTTTGAAGTACCACCAGGAAGATTTTCTATCATCCATATCGATCTCATAGGACCACTTCCACCATCTAAAGGGAATATTTATTGTCTTACTTGCATAGATAGATTTTCGAATTGGATGGAAGCAATTCCTTTAGAAAATATTTCCGCTGAGAACGTCGCAAGAAGCCTTTTATAGCAACTGGATTGCGCGTTTCGGAACGCCAAGTAAACTCATTAGTGATCGTGGATCCCAATTTAAAAGTGATACATTACGAGCTTTGTCCAAAATCTGTGGCATCAATTTACAACACACTACTGCCTACCACCCCTCGTGTAATGGCAAAGTTGAGCGCCTTCATCGAACATTTAAAAACAGCATTAAAAGCCCACAACAACATATCTTGGACGGACACGTTACCAACAGTACTTTTGGGTTGTAAACGTATTCAACAGCTATTCAAGAAGATACCAATCATTCTATTGCGCAAGTAGTTTATGGCCAGAGTCTCAGACTTCCTGGAGAGTTTTTCAGCGAACCAAGTATCCAGACAGCATCGGAGACTTTTGCTAATAAACTCCAGAAACAGATGGAAGTTGTTGGACCGAGACTAATTCGTAAAAATTCATCTGAACAGATATTTGTCCATAAAGACTTAAAAACTTGTTCTCATGTGTTTCAGCGAATAGATCGGGTAAAAAAAACCTTTGGAACCTCCTTATGAAGGACCATTTCCTGTTATTGATCGCAAGGACAAATATTTTACTATTAGCATAAAAGGAAAACATGTTAATGTATCCCTGGATCGCTTGAAACCAGCATATATTTTAGCTGAGGAAAATTCTCAGTTGATACAACCTGACTACACTAATTTGCAGAGACCGGACTCAAATTCGGATGTGAATCAAAAACATTCTCGCACAGGCAGAACTATACGTTTACCTGTTAGATTCAAGGACTGACTAAATTATTTTGATAGTGGTTAACACTGCAATACTAGTTACTACCTATTTCTCCATCTTCGTAACGTAACTTAGTTACTGGTGGGGGGAGTAGTGTAGTGGCCCAGTTATTGCATGAGAAATAATTATTTTTTATTTCATATATTTGTTCATGTGTTTAATTATTTTATAAAATTAACTTTAATATTTTGTTAATATTCATATTTATATTTCTTTTATGCTGAATGGCAATAAGTATTCATATTTATATTTAAATTTCTTTATGCTGAATGGCAACTAGTTCTAGTTCTGATTCATGATTGCTAGGTTTTGGTTTCAAAACGTTGCTCGTAGCGTCGCATTTCGATAGCTGGAAAATAAAATGCAATAACTTAGCTATTTGTTTATAATTCATGCTGTTACTAGTCATAAATTAATTTTAAACATTAGTAGCCAAGGCTGAGCAGTGGAGCTTTGAGGAAAATTAGCCCAAGAAACTTGGTACTCATTTTTTCGGGAAGGCTGAGTCAACCTAGGGGAATGAACCCCAGATCTGTTGTGTAGCTGCGCGACACACTAGCTACTTCGCCACTGGGCGGTCTTAATAGGCATTAACCCTTTCATAATAGGAACAGTCCAACAGGATCTCTGCTTCGAACCTATTCTGAGTGAGGCATCTCGTAATCGTAACCTGGTCTTAATCAGAATTAATTTAATCCATTGATTTCCCATGCTGAGTGAAACAAAATACCAAGAGATTTATTGTCCAGCCATTTGTTAGCTTGGCATAACATATGCAGTTTGTTACCTTGGCATGTGCCTTCCATTGGCTGGAAGAGCTAAAATTTGCAGAACATAGAAGTGGTTTAATTCGGTGGTTTATTGGTATATTCCAGCCAAAGGTAAATTGCACATTCAGTGTGCTCTTACATTTCTGTCTGACAAGCCTGTAATTATCTTGCATTAAAAAAAATTAAAATTGAATAATGAAACAATATTCATATGCAGATGAAATTTTGTTTATCCTTTTTTTGCATTTCTTTTGTGATTTGAATAATTACTTCTAATAATATACATCTGCTGTATCCTAATTAACAAAACTGCCCATCAAGGTTGTAAAATTTATATTTTTGAATTGGTTTACTCAAATAAATTATTCTTATTTTCTGCATACTTAGCAAAATCTTATGAGATATATGAGAATTAAAATCCGAAAAGAAATGAAACGTACTATGAGTATTTAGTAAAAAATTTTAGATGTGTTTAAAAATGACTGTTTTATGAGGCAGAAAGTGGAAAACTTCCATGTCAGATTTTTTAATGTTCGTGTTCTTTTTATGTAGCAAAAATGTCATTTAAGAAGACTGCAGATTTATTTTCATGAAAATTTTTTATTTACTCTTGCCTTTTAAGTTTTATTTACGGAAAAATTAGTAGAATAGGTCTTAAAATTTTGAATTTTTATGCCAAGATATTCATTAATACAAGTTTTTGAAATCAAATTTGGCTGAAATGTTGTTTTTTGGGATATTAGAGAGTGTAAGTCCTATTTTCTACAGATTATTGAAATATGTCTCTGTAATATTATTTATTTTTGTGAAACTAGTTATTGAATTTAAGAATCAGAGAAAGGCATAAGATCTGTTTTTAACATAAAACAGCAAAATAAAATAACTAAAGCAAGGATTATAATCTTAAAGTACCATAATTGAATTTCATCGTTAATGTCTTTAATAAAACATACGTCAAAAATTATCATAGTAAATGCTGTCATACCTTCCTCAAGCTCATGATGTTAATGTGCATAATATAGTCTGTGTATTTTTATGTCAGAATTAAATAGATTTCTTGAATGTCCTGTATAACAAAAATGCTTCTAGCAATATTAGAAACCTTAATATAATGTGACTAAATATTTCACAAAATGGTACATTTATAACAAATTGTAATATAAAGTGGCCAAAACTGCTTCAAAAAATCTTGAAGAAGTGTTTTCCCTTCATTGGTGGCAGACTAAAATAGTAGATTGTAGATTTTAGTTATTATGATATAATAAAAAGGTGCTATGTAGTGTCATCTACTAATTAGGAGAAAATAACTCCAAAATTTATAATTGATTAAGTGTAAGAGTTCTTGAACTCTAGCTTTGTTAATTGAAATTGACATAAACTGGTACATTTGAGAAAATTTAATGCACAAGTTAAAAGTTTTTTTTTTTTTTTTTGATAATTTTGACAGCAGAATATAATGATTGAGAAGACAACAGCTACTTTCAAAATATTGTTTTTTATTTACTTTGAATCAATTGATTTATGACATCTAATCCATAGATCATTCAAAAGATATATGGACTGTTTTCTTGCAGTTCTATAGCTAAGATCATTTAATAATAATATTCTGCAGTTGAATGCCATTTTTGACTCAGTTTTGGTTTTAGAAGTTTTTTCTATTCTATTAAAATGGCAACCAAAAGAATCCTTTATCTTATGTAATAAAAGGCTTGATTGATGTAGTATTAAAGAAAAATAAAATCTCCTTTTCAGAGAATAAAGAATGATATCCATCAAGAATATAAAAAAATATATATGTAGGTAAAATATGAATTATATAGGATACTTTGCTTTTGTTCATCAAAGATTCTTTACTTTGAAATACATAGAAAATGATAAACTTTGAGCTTTTTATAGAGATTATTCCTTCAATTTATGTTTCTACTTTTTCAGTAAACTTATAATTTCTTTCTTGATTCCAGATGATTAAAATTTATAATACTTCTCTTATGCTGTCATTTTTAAATATATGTTCACATTTAAAGAACTATGTTTTATTGATAACAAATAATCTGTTTAATACTAAGTACTATATTTTTTAAAATTTGTTTGTTATAGGAAAGTTTGGACATCTTTATTCTGTAAACAGAATTATCTTGAACAACTTCGAAGCTCAGCAGCCAAGGGATCATTGAAGAATTCTCCTTTTAGAAGTGTGTGTTGGAAGGTTAGAGCATGTCTTTATTTTTATAGAAATTATCTGAATGTTTGTGAGATAATGTACAACGAAGTTACATAATCATAAAAGAGATGTATAATTTTAGTATTTGCATTTCCTTCCTATTCTTTTTCCATAAGTGAGTGGTAGTTTGCCATGGGTTTTTCTTTCAATGGAGAATGCTTAAATGTGTGAGTTTTTTGTAATTTTCCTTTATCTCTTCCATAAATTAGCCCATTTTCCTTTTTGAAGGTAACCCTTCTTACAGGCTGATAACCTGGTACTTTTGGCCATAATCAAATGAAAGAATCCAGATTTCTCAAGCATTTTTTAAGTGGGGACTACTTTTATAAATTAAAATGCTCTGCAGACCACATTGCTCTTGTCCCCTTTGAAAGCAATTTTTTAGTATATATTTAGAAGTACAAGTATGCTAGTACTTGCACTTTAAAAGTACAAGTACTAGCATACTTGTACTTTTAAAGTGCAATTAATTAAAATTAAATGCTCATTCTAGCATTCATGAGGTGGATGAGCCTGCCAGTTTTTGCAGAGTTGTTCTGTGTTTGTATGTATGCTGGTAAGAAGCACCACAGTTATTATGCTAAAGCTCTCATTTTATGCTTAGACTAGACTGAGAAGTCCATAGGTAGGATAACTGGTATAAGTTTCATAAAATGTCAGTTTTTGAAGAAAACATGATAGATGATTACCATGTGTAATTTTCTAATTCCAGTGTTCTTAGGTATATTTCTGATTCCAAGGTATGGCATGCACAGTTAATTAAAATTTTATTTTTGTCTTTTTTAGAAATTCAGGAGGATGACAAAGACAGGCCTCAGGGGTCATTTGTGATCAGCAGCCCACAGAATGTGAAAATGCTGATCTAATCTAATCCATAAATACGCTGTAGTTGGTTTACAAAACACTTATTTGAGGGCATTAGATGATGAATTGTATATTAGCTTGAAATTAATACAAATTTATAAACTCAGACATAAACAAATTCTTCATAGATGCTGTATTATTTTAATGATGCGGCCTCAGACATAGATAAGGCTTCCAAGTTATTTGGCTCAGGTTCAAATCATGGGAAAGGCTTGCATGTTTGTAATTCTAAGGAGTTGGAAGTAAGGGGTGCATGTAAAATGTTTTGAGTTGAAAGTTCTGTCAGAAGGTTAGGGGTAGAAAAGTGACATTAAACTTATGGATTCCATATTCTGCAACATTCCTGGTTATAATGGGAGTGGAACTGGAAATAAAATTGTTCTGTCATTACTGGTAGTTGTGGCTTCAGGTTAGTGCTATGTATTTTCAACCCCTTCTTTGATTATTCATAAGATTGTTTTGGTCGCTGTATGCCTAGACATGGGGATAAGCAGGGACAACCAGTGTAATATTTATACTAATTAGTAATTTTTGAAGATTATAATCATCAAGTTGCAAATCTCACTATATGTATATAATGAGATAAAAATATGTAATGTATTCCTCATTTTAATTTGGTGTTTCCCTTTCTTATTCTAAAAATAGAAATAACTTCATATCATATGACCTTTTACATGACGATGACATAACTGATTCGGAACTTAAAATTCTGAGACCTGTAACCTTTGTCTTAATAAGCCTTCATACTGGATAACTATGCACTTTTGCTTCTGTCACTGCTAAGACACTGCCAGACTGCTTCTTTACTTACTGCAGAGCTATTAAATGTATTGAAATAATCATGATTAGAGTGACGGGTGAATTGTGACCACAAATGTCAATTGAAATAAAAATAAGTATTAAATCTGCCTCACCTGCTGAGTTTGTTAATTGTAGATCAACATGTATGCAATCAATATTTCTGCATAATTAAATCTAAATATACTTATTTTTTGTAATGTTATAATTGGACAGGATTCCTCAAGTGCGAATGGAAAATTTATCAAGTTGTCTGGAAAATAATGTAGGTTTTTGCAATTGTTTATCTTTCCTGTACATTTTTAACAACAAAAATATTTTGAATTACATTGGTTTATATATTATTTTGAAGCCCTATTTTTGCTACAAAATTATTATTATAGAATTTTTAAATAATTTTGTTCCAAAATTATTAAAAAAATATTTACTAGGTGTTTTTGATTAGATGTCAAAACGGGATTTTCAGCACTTTATGAGTGAGCACAAGCTAGGCCACAGCGCAGCACAAATGGCTTGAAATTCCAATGAAATATGGGGCAAGAAATGTGTTAATGAATCTACAGTCTACAGTTCAATTGTTGTACCAAAAGTTTTGCCATAGAGATTTTGACCTGGATGCTCTTCAGCTGTTGATGATGACGATTTGAAGACTTTAGTTGAAACAAACCCGTGCACAACTGTTCGAGAGCTTGCAGAGGAGCTTTGCGTAAGCAAAACAACGATTTCTGATCACTTGAATCGTAAAGGAAAGTAAAAAAAAAAGCTTGATAAGTGGGTGTCTCATGAATTGAGCGAAAAAAAAAATAGCTGTTTTGATGTGTCATCTGCTCTTTTTCTCCACAATAAAAACAACCCTTTTCTTGATCGAATTGTTATGTGCGATAAAAAGTGATTCTCTATAACAACCGACAACATTAGGCCCAGTGGTTGGATCATGGTAAGACACCTCAACACTTTCCAAAGCCAAATTTTCACCAAAAGAAAATTATGGTGACTGTTTGGTGGTCTACGGCCGGTCTCATCCACCACAGCTTCCTAAATCTGGGCGAAACGATTGTGGCAGATAAGTACTATCAGCAAATCAATAAAATACACCAAAAATTGCAGTGGTCAACAGAAAGGAGCCAGTCTTCACGACAATGCTCGGCCGCACATTGTGCAACTGACCCTACAGAAATTGAACGAATTGGGATACGAGACTCCCTCATCCCCCATATTCGTTTGACCTCTCGCCAACCGATTACCACTTTTTCAAACATCTGGATAACATTCTGCAGAAACCAAGACAAGGTCAAGAACACCTTTAACAACTTTGTTGCGTCCAGAATTCTAAAATTTTATTCTGCCGCCATAAATAAACTTATATCTCGTTGGCAAAAATTCATTGAATCGACTGGTGCTTATTTTGATTAATAAAATTGTTTTTGAGTTCAGTTATGATACTTTAAAGACATAGGTTGAAAACCTGCATTATTTTCTGGACAACCTAATATTTCCCTATGGAAAAATTTATTCACCCAGCTCTTCAAATCATTGGCATGAAATTCAAGGCAATATATAAGAAGTAAAAAAAAGAATATCATTGTTCTGCTGTGGAATTTTAATATTGCATCAATTGACACTGTAAGTGCATCCCCCCCAAAAGCACCACCTGTGTTTAAAGTGATTTAATGAGTCTTCAAGAAATACAATGCTCCAAGCTTGGCAGTCTGTGTCTATAGAATCTGCTTCCAGTAGTCTGCTAGAAAATTAATTTCCCTTCTGCTTTTTTGTAATCACATTTATATTGCAAATTGATATGTTTCTTACTATACTGAGTTTTAAAAATGTAGCATTGCTGTATGGAAACATATAACATTATGATATTAGACATTTGTATTATAATAATTTGATTAAGTAAGTAAAGAATTTTAAGATTTCTAAATTATTTTAGGGAAGGTTATTAAAAGTAAATGACCGTATTTTTTAATTACTGTTGAAAATTTTGAATTACTGCTAAGAATTTATTATTTTGAGAATGATGTGACTATGAAAAATTTAATTAAATAATTTAGAGAAAGTGGCATAGAATATTGTACATAATGTTTAATGAGTTAAATTGTATGAGTTAGTTAACTGTATGAGTTAATTTTATGAATAAGTTAAATTGTATGAGTTAGTTAACTTTAATGAGTTAAATTGTATGTAAAGATAAAATATGTTAATATAAACTTTGAAGGCTCCCACTGTATGGAAAAAATATTTAATTTTTTCATATATAATTATTATTTTTATTATTATTATTATTATATATATATGGTTAAGAAATTTATAATTAATTTTTCACGAAGCTCAAAAATTGGGAGAGCCAGAATTTTCGGATGAACTATTATAATTAAAATACATTGAAATGGGTTCACTGGCTAATTCTGAATACAGAAAAGCAAGGATTTTTGTAGAAGAGAGTTTTCAATTGATTTCAATGTTCCTTCCCCCAGAAGAAGTAGCAATGAAGTTGATTGAATTCCTCTTCTGTTTTTGTTCATTTTTCTTTAAATTTCATTGATTTTTTCAAATGGGATTTTGATTGTTTGAAAAGTTTTGGTTTTAACTTTTTAAAATTCTTTGTAGCATTTATACGATTATGTGATTTATTAATTATAAATTTCAATTTTTGGTCTTTGTGAAAAATTAGTTCTAAATTTCTTACTTTTTGTCTTTAATGATAATTCTTCTGCAGCTTAATGCATGAAAATACTAGGCATGTTCAAATTTTGTTTTCAAAAGAATTGTTTTGTAATTATATATATGTATATAAAAGGGAGTGAAGTTTTAGCTTTTTTTAATATAATGGGATTTTTAGTGCAGTTTAAAAAGGCCAGTTGCTTTTATAAGGAACAGAGGCCTTTATATATAACACCTGAGCAGTTGTTCACCATTGATGAATGTTAAGACATCATTTAGTTGAAGTGTGTATTTGTGTAAAATGAGAAAATTAAAAATGTAATAATAATAAAAACTTTAATGTCAATAATACTCTTATAAATGATGTTAAAATGTAAATTATAATTATGAAAATTAGTTATGAAATTGTGAAATTTGTTGATTAATCGGAATAAGTAATGGGCATATAAGATTTTTATAATTGTGATATTGTGTGAAATGTTTTGAAAAACCTTTCCTGAATGAATATTGTATGTGGCCTGTAAAACACAAAGGCTTCTGGACTGAAAAATTTAGTAGTGCTCTAAAATGTTAGCAAAGTTTATATTTTGCAATTATTTTGGTCAAAACTTGATCATTTGTATTTTTTAAATTATGTTTTTCTTCATTCGGTAATGGTT